CCTGTTCTCAAGCAATGCTATACATATATGTCATATATATATGTATACTTCTGTGTGAAGTCATCTTGAAAAACTGGGGCTTCCATAGGGAGGCAAGGGAATCTTTCTGCCTGCGTTGGTCTTGCACGGCAAGGTTTTGATACTGGGGAGGAGGGGGAGATCTACAGAGGTGGCTTCAGTAAAAAGCTGCTGGAAGCTGCCCCCATGTCTGAAAGAGCCAATGCCAGCTAGCTCCATGATGGACCCTCTGCTGACCAAGGCTGAGCCCATCAGTGATGGTGGTAACACCTCTATGATATTTATGAAGAGGAAAAAAGTTACTGCATAAAAGCAACTGCAGTCAGAGAAAGGAGTGAGAATACGTAAGAGAAACAACTTTGCGGACACCAAGGTCAGTCAGTGAAGAAGGATGGGGAGGAGATGCTCTAGGCACCTGAGCAGAGATTCCCCTGAAGCCCACGGTGAGGCAAGCTGTCCCTCTGCAGCTCACGGAAGACCCCGTGCCAGAGCAGGTGGATGCCTGAAGGAGGCTGTGACCATGTGGCAGCCCACTCCAGAGCAGGCTCATTGCAGAATCTGTGGCCTTGCGGAGGGAGGAGCCCATGCTGGAGTAGGTTTTCTGGCAGGACTTGTAACCCCTTGAGTGACTCGCATTGGAGCAGTCTGTTCCTGAGGGACTGCACCCCACAAAAGGGACCCACACTGTAGCAGTTCGTGAAGAACTGCACCCCATGGGATGGACTTACATTGGAGAAGTTCATGCAAGACTGTCTCCCGTGGGAGGGACCCCACACTGGAGCAGGGGTAGAGTATGAGGAGTCCTCTCCCTGTGGAAGAAGGAGCGGCAGAAACTGTTTGCTGAGTGATCTAACTGCAATCCTCATTCCTCATCCCACTGTGTCACTGGGGGAGAGGAGGTAGAGAAAATTGGGAGTGAAGTTGAGCCTGGGAACAAGGAAAGGTTAGGAGGAAGGTGTTCCAAGGTTTACTTTTTATTTCTCATTACCCTACTCCAATTTGACTAGTAGTAAATAAAGTTAATTTTTCCCCAAGTCTATTTTGCCCATAACGGTAATGGGTGAGTGATCTCCCCCTGTCTTTATCCTGACCCTCGAGCCTTTCGTTGAACTTTGTTTTCTCTGGCCACCTGAGGAGAGGGAGTCATAGAGTAGCTTTGGTGGGCACCTGACCTCCAGTCAGGGTCACCCCACCACAGCCCCACATGAAAGTAAGCTCCCAGTGCTGTTAACTGCTGTTCTATAACCATGGCTCAAAGCAGCTACAGAAAAACTTGTGGTGTCAGTGGTGATTTTCTAGCATATGAAACTGCTCCATAGTTATTACTAGACTTTTCCTGGGTAATTAGAGAAACTGTGTGGGAGACAGGTTATGAAAGGGTCCCCTGTGAACACCTCCAATCTGCAAATATACATCAGGACAGGCAGACATGACCCAAGAAGTGGAGGAAAAACAACCCTGTCACACCTAATCTGTGGTATTTTCTTCCTGTCTGCAGGAAGAGTGACCAAAATAGGATGGTGGTACTTGCAAGCACCAATAAACAATACTTTTCTAAATGGTTAAGAGCTGTGTGCTTAGAAAATGAGATCACATAGTAGTCTAATCATGTTAGCATGCAAAACTCGTGCAATCCAATCCATGAATATCCATTTACCTAAGGCTGCAACCAGTGGTATGGTAGTATAGTAGCATTACAGTAATATGGCTTTACCGTTACATATCTGCTGATCAATCTACAGAAGTAATTTCTGAGTCATAATGTGTCATTAACATCAGCAGGGAAGACCACTCTCTCTCAACTTGGGCATCTTCATGCTCAGATCGAGTTCCAGAATCATTCCTTCCCATCCAGCTGAGGCCACTTCTGTCTGCAGGAGTTTTTTCTGGAAACTTCCCAAAACACTTTAAAGATCAATTTAATTTATGCAGGTCTACCAGCAGCCACACTTCTAAAGTTGAAAGGAACAGCTGTAGAGAGACCACTGCATCATCAGTTTTGAAAAATATGGACTAGATGAATCTGGCTTTTGCCTTTCATAGATTCATCACTGAGCTAACATTTGAATTATTTTTCCTTGTACTACTGCATTAGTAACTTCTGACAAATCAGTATTTTGGATCTCACGCTCTGCCTGATCCACAGAATACACTGTTCTGTACCAAACTTAATTTGACATTTTAGTTCAATACACAGAAACTGTCCAGTCTGGAGAACTCCGCATCATTCATCATTATGTCACTCAAACTGACAGCACATCAAAAAAACTGCTAGTCATGCCTGTTGTGTCCTTTTATTAGTAGGTCTACCTAAGAGAATAGTAAATTCAGTCTACTATAATACTCTCTACTCACTGTGCACTAATACTAGTAGAAGCATGGTGGATAACAAAGGAACACAAGAACATAAAACTGTCTTCTCTGCTTACCTTTCCATTCTCCTCTTCCATACTCAAAAAAAAGGACATCAGGAATAACTTATTTTTCGTTTGATATTCCTCGGGAACTTAGCAATTCTCCAATGTACAATAGTTAAACAACAGCTCCACAAGCAGTAGATTTTAATTACCTTCCTTGATTCCATTTATTCCTTTATATCCATTTATATCTTCTGTCCTTCTAACACAATTTTTTCAGACCTGCACCACACATATGCACTCTCAAATACCCTGTCCTGAAGGCAAACATAGTGTCCGGCCAGTCAGAGCTCACATGGGAGCATCTCCCACGATGGGTGGTAAGTTAAGGCTTCTCTTCTACCAAGGTGTCAATTTTCACCAAACTTATAGGAGCTTCATTAAAACCTCTTGAACTCATTAATTTTTTGATACTAGGCAATATAGTCAACGTTGTGAAGACAGAGCCAGAGAATAACAGAGATAAGGATAGATGATGTGACCGAAAGGCTCATTTCCCCTGGAAATCAGGATAAAAAAACCCAATACCATGAATATATACATAAATGGAAACTCTTAGTATTAGAAATCTTTTAAGGAAAACTCAAATATACCTACACAATTAATCTATACTAATAATCAATTTTTCAGAGAATGAAAGCTGTGTTAAAATACTCAGGAAAAATGGTATCAGTTAATTTGCTCCAAGGCAAAAACCCACAACCCACCACTGATTCCCAGAATCAACACAGTGACTGCTCTATCTGCAATAAGCATTATGTTAAAGAGCTAAACATACATTAAAGAACAGATGAACAATAGCCTCTGTAAAGAAAAGCAGAGCCGAACAAAATTATGTTTTGGTTTTTAAGTCCACAGACTGGTAAAATCACAATCTGCACCTCTGTGATCAGCATTCCCCGCATACATGGAGAATTTGCCTCTCCAGGTTCGGGTTTTTCTCCTCCCAAACATCCCATCCGCGATCTCTTGTAGAGCAGCAACAGACTCTGAGGAGCCTCCCCTCCACAGAGAATCTCACTGTTCTCTTAATGGGAAGAAAATGTTTAACTAAACCATTCTTAATGTAGAAACACTTGCAGTGGTATAATCCAACAGACACAGATGGTAATCTGTCTAATCTGTGTGGAGTAATTAATAGCACAAAACAACACACTGTCAAAACAGGGCAATATAAAAATATCAAGAGCAGGTTTCCCTTGTCATTGGTTAGATTACTTTATGAAAATCTGAATGTAGAGGTGTGAATGATTTTAGGTACATTGCACAGAGAAGAAGAAAATTAAGTCGGGGACAGAACTGTCTGGCAAAGAAAACACACGACAGATCCAGACTTAGGGAAGAGATGATGGAGTTTGTAAAAGATGCTGAAACTTTCCTTATCTAGTCCTCGGCCTTTGGCATAGGCAGGGGAGGGCACTATACAATTACATTACCCCCGAATGCATTCTTAATGTATCAAATCCTTTCAAATTTTAAGTGATCTCTTACTTAAGCAGTTGTCTCAGTTCTTACAGTGTACATCTCAAGCAGTAAGCTGTTTTAACCAAAGTTACTTTTGATATTTTAGACTAAAACATTTAACAAATATTTTAAATTTCTTTCCATCTGTTAGAACACACTTTATTTAGATCAATGTTAGTTTGCTACTATTTTATAGTAACACAGTTTTGCTAGAATCAATCCAAAATCCAGAAAAAGATGGTTTTAGTACTGCTGTGAAGAGTGCAGTATGACAAATAATCACTGATATGGATTTTTTTATTTTTTTTTTAGTGTGTGTGTCAGGAAACTGTCATTCACTTCATATCATCTGAGTCAAGCTCAGGTCTGGTGAAGAGGGTAATAAATGGCTCCCAATGCAGAAGTAGATCTATCAGAAGAAGTCTATTAGACCAACAGTTTGATAACCCACAGTATGTGCTTTCTCCTGGTTAACAAGTGAAGTATTTCAGAGTGTCAGCAAGTTCAGGAAATTCTCCTGCTTCATTCAGTAACACAACACTGACAGAGCAGGGACAGACTCAAGCAGCTCTACTGTAATTAGCATTATTGATCATCCTCAGATTACTAATATGGAAAGGAAAAAAAAAAGAAAAGAAGTGATGTTGAAGCACTAATGAGCTCTGAAGTCAGGAGATATCCAGGCCATGAGGCTTCACTACATGTCTGTAGGTGTGTTTTCCTGTTCGAGCAATATTATCTTACTCAGCAAGGAAAAATTTCTGACAAAGGTTTCTTATGCTTCAGTCAAATACATACATATCAGACCCCTCCACCCACTTCCATCCATTAATACTGTCATATGAACAGCAGCCATACTTTACAGGAGTAAATTTCACAAGTTTAAAAAAAGTAGGCTTTAGCATTGAGGGACACCAGCTGTTTCACAGATGTGAAAAAGCACTTTGATAATATCAAAACCAACCAATTCTGTACAAGGAACTAGAGTAGACAGTTTAGAAAACTCAAGTCATGGATCACCATCATGCAACCAGATTCTCTCATACAAACATCCAAAAAGAAGAAAATAAAGAATGTATAGAACAAAAAGTTTCCATTGACCTGATTTGTCAGAGATGTTGGTTGTGACTGGCGCGGTGGAGCAGCTTGTGTTAGCCTTTGCGCTGTCCTTGGAAGAACCAACTTTGGGTTTATTTTTCGTTGCCTCTAGTGCTTTGACCTTCTTGGCATGTTTACTTCCTTTGTAGTGGGCCTCGGCCTGGCTCTACAAAGGAGAACAAATCAGGTTCACTTTTTTCTCTACTTCTATATAACACCAGGGATGACAAGGCAGAAAATTGTCACTTTCAATAGCAGGCACCTTATTATTTCACCTAGAAAATTTTAGTAGGTTTATACTGAGTTTTCCTAGATGTAAGTTCTTATATATTCAGATGATGGGATTTTAATGAATGGCACGTGTTTTCAGTAACTTGGAAAAAGAGCCTTCAAGATCACACAAAGCTCTGTCAGTCCTAATATAATTCTTTGTTTTCGCAGTGCTTAAAGATTTAAAGCACTATACAAATGTAAACACATGCTACTGCAAAAGATGCTATTCAGTTTTCATGTACTGCTCGCTAGTCTTTATTGCATGTAGTTGGAAAGACGTACCATGCCGTAACATGATTAAATAATCCATTTTTCCTTCTGCTTTATCTACTACAAAAGTCATAAAGTATTTTCATCATTACATTAACAGCAACTGAAATAGGCATTAATAACATTATGACGTCACTATTAGAACAAGTAAGAAGGGTTAAAACAAAGAAACACTGTACCTATAATCTTCAGTAGACCCAAGTAAAACAGAAAACCAAATCAGTGTTGATTGTTTTATAAATTGCCTTGAATAATTTTTTTCTGAAGTCTAAGCAAATTGGAATCCAGGTTTCCAGAGATTATAAAAATTGGACAGGAAGGAGAACAGCTTGCACCTTTTTCTATTTTTTTTTCCCTTTTTTAATTTTTTTTTTTGCTACAGCGCTTTATATGTGATGTACTCCTCTTGGCCTGTCCAAAGAGAACAGTAGAAACATGTACTGAGATGCAATGTTTACTTCACCTTTGTCTTAAAACTATCTTTAGAAATTAGGTCAGTATTTCTGAAGTTGCACAGCTAAAACGAGACATAAATAAATGCCTGTTTTTTCAGTGATTTTGAGTCCCCATTATTGTTCCTTACTCTATATAACCAGCTGCTGTGACAAATCAGGCCACTTTGTTAGGTGCAAAACTAAGAAACTACATGCCTAATGCAAACTTGAAAGCTTGGAAATTTCAGCTAATGAATTTAAGCTTTTTTCTGGACTTAAATAAATTTACAAAATTGGGTAAGAATCATAATTTTATACTAAACACAATCTACCTTCATAACATTAGACTATTCAGCAATAGCTTTGTGTTACTAGTATTTCAAACCAATTTTTAAATTTTTAAGAAAATTATTTCAGACATACTACTAGGTGCCTCTATTGAAGGTTACATATCAACTAAAGAAGTTAATATAGTAATTTTTTCTTTCAAAGTAAAATACTCAGAGAAAGCATGCTTCATGTAACCAGATGACCACACTTTGGCACCTGGCATATAAAATCATCAGTGCAAGTAAACTTTTACTATGTCCATGCAAAAACACATTCTCTCTCTTCAGTTGAGTAGGACTATTGTATTCCAGTTCACTCTGTTAAATGAAGTGAGCCATGAAACAAGTCACGTGCTTTTTATAAAAAGCAACTATAACATCTAAGACATTTGAATTCCATAAAAAGTGCTGCCATAATGAGGAAAGCCATCTTAAGATCAATAGAAATAGGCATTACAATACAGTCACCTTGGGACAGCATGTAATTATAGTTTTATCATTTGGCAGAGTGTAAGTGAAGAGCAGAAACAGCTGGAGCAGACGAGAGAATAGGCAGTATGCTCTCACAAAAATTGTATGCAGTGTTAAAACTGATGGAGAACTAGAGCTAAAATAGAAGAGTGATGTTCGTATACACTGAAGCTTCTTCAGGGAATATATGTCCTGTGAAAGACAATGCTTTCCACCTCAAAATGAGAGTGTATGGGAAACGTTGTGGCTGCATCTTCTCTTTTACAGGAGATTTCAGCAAGCAAGCATTCAGTAAGAAAGGCTGCTAGAGAAGTTTTACATAAAATTGAGATTTTAAAAAAAGCTTTATTACAAAAACAGTAGAGTCTAGTCATCAGCTGCTATTAAACTTCTTGATTTCAAAGCATTTGAAATATTAATACATGTACAAACACAATTTAAGGATTATAAAGAAACAACTGAACAGCTACATCATTACGACTACGCACACTACTTAAAGGGACACTTGTCAACTTCTAGGTTGGGCCTCTTCAGCTCTGAATGTGGGTAGAGGAGCACACATGTCTTTGCACCGTTATGTCCATGGGTGTTACACAGGCACAGGAGTCTCACCTTGCCTCTCTCCACCCTTGCTGGGCTTTGTTTCTCTTAAGCTTTGCTGTTGCTACATGAGGCACTAGAAGGAGTGTTTGTCACCACAAAATTAAATAAACTAGTCACATGCTACAGCATACAAAAAGCGAAGCTAAAATTTGAGGTGTATATACAGCCTTTCCCTTCCAATACTTTTGACTTTAAATATTAGCAAGTTCAAGATTTTCCACTCAAGCATTCTCAAGTTGATGATGTCCCTTTAAATATTTGAAGTCTATGCTCTGCGCATATGTGAGCTGTTGATAGGATCATATGCTGCCTGAGGCTAAAGCTATAACATGAGACAGAAGTGCACTCAAGAGAAAGACTTAGTAAGTCAATTCCTTGATAATAAGCCTTTCTGCTGATATTTGCAATAATAATGCCTGCAATATCAGTAATAACCTACTACAGTCTTTGATTCCCTTCATTCAGTCCTCATACAGTATACATGAGACCTGTTGAGAACAAGCCCAGGCAGAGTTAAAATTGAGATTTCCATAAGCACAAGCAAAGCCTCATCTAAACATGGTGAATGGACTCATTTTTAAGTTTTGCAATTATTAAAAACTTTTTTATTATCAAATTTGTAGTCATATATTATAAGGGCAAAAGGTATGGTTATGACCACCTGTTTGAACTAGTCCATATTCCTTCTGGGAAAAAAAATAATTGTCCAGCCTTGATTTTAAAGTAGGTAGGGATGAAAAATCTACTTCTCGTAAATTGATTCAGTGTTTCACTTAAGTACATATTATTTTTTTCTACACCAAATTTGTCTAGTTTCAACTAGCAGTGGTTGGATTTTGTTAAACCTTTGTTTTTCAGTCTCTTTCAACACATGATCTTTAAGGATCCTTCCAACTCAATGCATTCAATGAGTCTATGACCCATGAGTAGCAACACAGATACTATTTTCAAACACAGAGGAGTATTGCTTGACGTACTGAAGCAATGTTTCCTAGCCACCTAAGCCCTATTTTCTAACCCTTTCAGATAAACCTGAAGTTCAGACTTTGCTTATTATCCACTATGGGATAAATAATTTGATTCAGTCGCCTTCTGGAAAGTGAAGTGCAGTATCAACATGGAACTGTGATCCATGGAACTGTGCTACAAAAAGCATTGGAGTTTTCTGGAGTCAAAGTAAGCAAAAAAAAAAAAGAACAGCTGGGGGAATCTGAAACTAGAACACAAGCTCTGATTACTGATTATACCAATTATTCATGTCTTGATCACTACTAAACTTAGTTTTACAAAATATTTGCACACTGAAGACAAAAATATTTGATCCAAGTCCTACTTAAAACTTGTTTCTGACACAAATACAGCAAGAGAGTACAGGCTATGAGCTTTGCAACTTACACCGTTGAAATACTAAACATATCCTTGAAATAACCCATATTATATACAATTTTCATTTTTAGTTAGGACAAGAAGCTGAACATTTATTTTCATTTGCTTTGATAATCCAAAGGAAGTTCTGTACACACAAGTTTTAAAAGTCACATGTATCAAAGAAAGATAACTTACCAGTTTTGATAAAAAACCTTAATAATACATAAAATGAAATTAAGAGTAAATATATTAGGGATGCAATATTTTTAATGGATACTGAATGTACTTCTTGATAATCATCAACATTAACTAAAGTAAGTACAAGTGCAAAGTCCACATCATGGAAACAATACTTGAAAACCTAAAGTTAATAAAAGCCAAAATAAAGATATGTAACCTTAATGAATCTCTTCATACTCATTTACCATAATGCTTTTCAATTGCAGAATAATTTATTCCAGTGTAGAGGGCTGAATTGACTGTAGGGATGAGTCAATTCTATAGTAAAATAATTTCTGTGTGCCACAATTCAGTATTATTAGAATATTTAATTTTTTATTTCAAAAATATTAAGTTAAATTTATTGCTTATATAATCAAAATTAAATTTCACCACTGAATTTCTATTATTATTTTTATAATTTTAAAATTAAATGCTTACTAGGTTAATGAGGACACTTGTTGAAAAAGCGGAATATGAAAATATTTCATATGAAAGAACTCCCTAATTAAAAAAGAAATCTAATTTCCACCTGCTTCTAAAACTAACTGTGACCTACTGGCTTGATATGTACACATTGTGACATTTTAAAATTGAATCTGGAATCCCCTTGCTTATTGGAAAGTATCTAAAGTCACAGAATCACAGAATGTTAGGGATTGGAAGGAACCTCAAAAAACTGTTTAGTCCAACCCCAAGTCCTGGAAAAGCAAAAGCCCTCAGCTGCAATAAATGTGACCTTACATACCAGAATGTAAAAAATACCTTTGTCCTGACAGGTCATATAGCACAAAAAGTGTTTATGCATTTGCGTGGCATTACCTTTAAAACATTGAATACCTGCCTAAACCTTTAGAAGATCATGGCTTAGCAAAAAGTAGTATTTGGAATTCAGTTGCACATAATGAAGAATATTATTGATACACAAATAAATGTGAATATCAGTAGCATACTACAGTGCTTCAAATAAGCTTGGTACCTTTGCATAAATTTAAATACATGTATATCCATACATGTGTGTATATATAGAAAGATCACATGGGTTCATTGATAGTGGCATTACCTTTAAGAAAATTTAGATATTCAGGTAAGACTGTGGTACAAAAGATTACAGAAAATTATCCCCGTCAGCAGCAATGACTGACAGTATATTTGAAATCAGCACTATTCATTTTGACAGTTCACAAGTGACTGAGATT